TATTTGTCAACCAGGTAGGAGGTACTACTTTTATCATTTTGATTGAATAAACCTGAAAGTGGCTGAATACGTGTAAGACAGTCCCACTAACATAATCTGCCTTTTCTACTTACCATGTGTTTTTGGTAACAACTGTCTGTCTACATTCTTGTCTTAAAGAAGATCTACTTCTCTTAGAATTGTAGGCTCTTTTCTTTTTTCTTGGGGTGATGTCTAAACTATAGATATTTTAGTCTTTGCTTGCTTTACCGCAGTGCAAAGAACTGACTTGATTTCTTTTCATGTCATTGCTACTCTATATTGTTAAGGAAATGAGCCTCATTTAGACATGTAGTCTATTCTAGTCATTTTTAAAAACTAAAGAGTGAATTATTTAAAGTCAAAACACATTTCCTCTGTGGAGTAATTATATAGGGCTCCACAGCCTATGGCATGGAGAAATAAAATAATCCCCAATGCATAGAGTTGCATACTAAATAATGCCCACATACTGCTCTGAGTTAACTATAAATTCTCACTAGTGTTAATTAAAAATTATATGGCAAAGCTTCTTCTATAAACCACTCAGTGACCATGACCTTTAATTCTTCTTGCTGATGCCCATAGTTAAACTACTTGCCATTTTCTTAGATGCCTTCTTTTCATTCTTCATTTTTATACTATATTTTACTGGTAAATTATTTCTGGAAATTATAGAAGTTAAAACTTGCATTTTTATCAAGAGATTTATTCTTTTTCTTCATGGAAATACTACCTAACTTTGAGTAAATTACCCTTATCTCAGGCACATCAGCTATGTACCTGTTATAATCTATAACAAAGGAATTGTGAGCTTTATTTAATTTGTTGAAGTAGATTAAAAATAGTTTGGGACCGTTAATGCACATCTCTTTGAAGGTATAAAGTATCGTCATTAGACTTCCTGTGATTTAAAATGATACTCAAATATGTAAATTGCTAAGATTGCTTTGGGTAATATGGACTTTTAACAATGTTGGTTATTCCAATCTATGGAAATGGAGTATCTTTCCAATTTTTTATATCATTTTAATTTCTTCCATTAATGTTTTATAGTTTTCAGAGTACAGGTTTTTCAGTTCCTTGGTTAAGTTTCTTCCCATTTTGTCATTTTGGGTGCAGCTGTAAATGGGATTGTTTTCTTAATTTCTTTTCCTACTACTTTATTATTAGTGTATAGGAATGCAGAAATTTCTATATATTAATTTTTTAATTAATTAATCTTGTGACTTTACTGAATTCATTTATTAATTCGAACAGTTTTTTGGTGGAGTCTTTATATATATGTATATATATATATAGTCTATATATAGTGTCATGTCATCTCCAAATAGTAAAAGTTTTACTTTCTTACCAATCTGGATGCCTTTTATTTCCCTGTCTTATCTGATTGCTGTGACTGGGGCTTTCAGTACTACCCTGAATAAAAGTGAGAGTGGACAGTCCTTGTCCTGATCTTAGATGAAAATATCTTCTTTTTCTTCCTTGAAGATGATATTAGCTGTGGATTTTTCATATAGGGCCTTTATTATGTTGAGGTATATGTTCCCTCTGAAACTACTTTGTTGGTAGTTTTTGTCATAAATGGATGTTGTACTTTGTCCAATGTTTTTTCTGCATTTCTTGATCATATGGTGATCATATCGTTTTTATCCTTTTTCTTATTAATCTGATGTCATGTTGATTGATTTATGAATAGTGAACCATCCTTGTATCCCAGGAATAAATGCCACTTGATTGTGGTGAATCAATTTTTTCACATGTTGCTGGATTCAGTTTGCTAATATTTTGTTGAAGATTTTTTCATCTATGCTCATCAGAGATATGGGCCTATATATCTCTTTGTCTGGTTTCAATATCAGTAAATCTGGCCTTATAGAATGAATTTGGAAACTTTCCTTCCTCTTTTATTTTTTTGGAATAGTTTGAGAAGAATTGGTATTAATTCTTTAAATGTTTGGTAGAATTTACCTGTGAAATTTTTTTTAAAATTTTTTTTATATTTTTTACAAACATATAATGTATTATTAGCCCCAGGGGTACAGGTGTGTGAATCGCCAGGTTTACACACTTCACAGCAGTCACCATAGAACAAGCACATACCCTCCCCAATGTCCATAACCCTACCACCCTCTCCCTACCCCCCTTCCCCTGGCCACCCTCAGTTTGTTTTGTGACTTTAAGAATCTCTTACAGTTTGTCTCCCTCCCGATCCCAACTTGTTTCATTTATTCTTTTCCTACCCCCCAAACTCCCCATGTTGCATCTCTAAGATTTTATTTATTTGACAGAGAGAGAGATCACAAGTAGGCAGAGAGAGAGGGGGCAGCAGGCTCCCTGCTGAGCAGAGAGCCCGATGCTTCGGGGCTCCATCCCAGGACCCTGACATCATGACCTGAGCCGATGGCAGAGGCTTAACCGAATGAGCCACCCAGGTGACCCTACCTGTGAAAATTGTTAAAGTGGCCATACCACTCAAAGAAATCTATGGATTTAATGCAATCCTTATCAAAATACCAATGACAGTTTCCATAGAACTAGAAAAGATATTCCTAAAATTCATATGGAACCCCAAAATACCCTGAGTTGCTGAAGCAGTCTTGAAAAAGACAAATCTGGAGGCATCACAATCCCAGATTTCAAGATGTACTATAAATCTGTAATAATCACACCAGTATAGTAATGGCACAAAAATAGACATATTGATCAATAAAACATAATAGCAAATCTAGAAATAAGCCCACACTTATATTGTCATCTGCTAGAGAAGAGGCAAGAATATACAATGGGGAAAAATAGTCCTTTCATGAAATGATTTTGAGAAAACTGGACAACTACATGGAAAAGAAAGAAACTGGACCACTTTCTTACACCACACACAAAAATAAACTCAAAATGGATTAAAGACCTAAGTATGAGACCTTAAACTATAAAATTGCTAGAAGAAAATAGGGGCAGTGATTTCTTTGGAAATTTCTTTGGAAAAATGGAAACATTTTTCCATTCAACATGTCTCCTCATTCAAGAGAAACAAAGTAAAATTAAACTCTTGGGACTAGACCAAAATAAAAAGCTTTTGCACAGCAAAGGAAACCATCAACAAGACAAAAAAAGCTATCTACTCAATGGGAGAAGATATTTTCAAATGATATATCTGATAAGGGATTAATATCTGAAATATATGAAGAACTTATACAACTCAGTACCAAAAAAACCCCCAAATAATCACATTTAAAAAATGGACAGAGGACACAGACATTTTTCTAAAGAAGACATATGTATGGCATAAGGACACATGAAGAGGTGTTCAGCATTACTAACCGTCAGGGAAATGCAAATCAAACAATGAGATATCACTTTACACCTGTCAGAATGGCAAAAACAAAACACACACACACACACACACACACACACACATGCACACACATACACAACAGAAATAGCAAGTGTTGGCAAGAATGTGGAGAAAAAGAACCCTCATGCACTATTGGTGGGAATGAAGATTGGTGTAGCCATAGTAGAAAACAATGTAGAGGTTCCTTAAAAAATTAAAAGTAGAAATACCTTATGATACAGTAATTCCATTATTGGATATTTATCTAAAGCAAATGAAAACACTAATTCAAAAAGACATATTCACTCTTCTGTTTATTGCAGCCTTATTTACAATAGTCAAGATATTGAAGCAATTCAAATATCTATTTGTAGATGAATGATAATGGTGTATGTGTATATTTATATATATTACGTGTAAATATACACACACACCATACCCTATATATAAAGATGTGTGTGTGTGTGTGTGTGTGTACACACACACACACACACACACACACACACACACACACATATATATGTAAAGATCCACAGTGGAATATTATTCAACCATTTGCAACAACATGGATGGACGTAGAGGGTATAATGCTAAGTGAAATAAGTCAGTCAGAGAAAGACAAATAGCTTGATTTCACTCATATGTAGAATTTAAGAAACCAAACAAGCAAAAAAAAGAGAAAACAAACTCTTAAATAGAGCACAAACTAATGACTAGCAGAGATGAAGGGGTGGGGGGGATGGGTGAAAAGAGGTAAGTGGGATTAAGAATACACTTAATGACTACTGAGTAATGTATAGAATTGAAGAATCTTTGTATTGAACACCTGAAACTAATATAACACTGTATGTTCATTATACTTCAATTAAAAAGTATGAATCGCTTTGAAAATTCTATGCTAATTCCTAAGCTCCCTTTAGATAAAACCATTATGCCTTCAGTTACTATAGCCGGAATTTACTAAGCACAAACTATGGATTAGGAGCTGTGTTTGGCTTAAGAAAATACAACCCAAACTCCTGCTTCTAAGGGGCTTGGAAACTGGAGTGGCAGACAGAGCTGTAATGCAGCTCCTCTATGAGGTGGTAAACATTTAACATAGGAATAAAAGGGTTCTTAGGTGGCATGAAACATAGCATATCCACCTGGGGCTTGGCTGACAAAGAAAAGGCAAAACAAGGGGAGAAGGGAGCTGTTTCCTGAGTCTTGAGGTTGAGCAGACCGCCAGGAGCCCAAGAGGGAATGGCCAATGTAGGTGAAGGAGGTAGCAGATGTGCACACATGGAGAAATGAACATGTGACCTCTTCATGAGCCCTTAAGGAGTAGGGTGTACTGTGGTTTAGCTGCAGGTGCTTACCAGGAGAGTTGCAGAAAATGAGACTAGCAAACTAAGTTGGCACCCAAAACAAAACATTTTTACTGCATTGATGTTGGATTTAGGCAATGGATGATTTTGAAAGCACAGTCTATATAAGTTGCTGGAAAACTGGCTGTGAGACCAAGAGCAGAGAGGGTTCTAGAAGTCTGCCTTGGACAGCTATTAAAACCAGTAACTTAGTTAAGTGTATCTGTAAAACCACTAAAAGGAATATTAGAATTTTAAAGAAATATTATAAAAATGACTTTGTTTTTATTATTTTTCCCCAGTGGGAGAGACTTCTGAGAGTTGCCCGGAAGCCACTGATTTTTTGTGCCACAACAAGAAGTGTGTTGCGTCCTACCTTGTCTGTGACTATAAGCCAGACTGCCCTGATGGGTCTGATGAGGCTCACTGTGGTAAGTGATCTGTCTGCTCTCATGCAGCCCATTCAGCACAGATTTTACTTCATTAGGAAAGTAACATATTGGCATTGATGACGGAGAGGAAATACTCTTTCCGTGCACTAGAGGAGATTTAAAATAGTCAAAACATTTTTCCCAGCTTCTCTATCCACACATCCAAATCACAGCCTGCTTAACTGTTTTATCCCCATACTAAACGCCACAGCAAATCTTGTCCTAAAAATTTCTCAATGTGTCATTGCGCAGAACTGCAGGGGGAGGGGGGTGTCAGAATTTTAATCGCCAAAACTGACCTGTTGGTCTACATTTCTTCATTGGTTTTCATTTCCTTTTCCAGAAGATGGTTGATTTTATAGATGAGGCTAAAAATGAGCACTTCAAATAAATGCTAGTAAATGATTAGTTTAATCAGTTACATTGCTCTAGGAAAACGGAGCTAGATTAGCCACATTGGTTTTTTTTTTTAAAGATTTTATTTATTTATTTGACAGAGAGAGATAACAAGTGGACAGAGAAGCAGTCAGAGAGAGAGAGAGAGGGAAGCAGGCTCCCTGCTGAGCAGAGAGCCCGATGCGGGATTCGATCCCAGGACCCTGAGATCATGACCTGAGCGGAAGGCAGCGGCTTAACCCACTGAGCCACCCAGGCGCCCCAGCCACATTGGTTTTTTTATTCAAACTTTAATTCAAGTGATTTTTAGAAGTCATGCATACAACCAAGTATGTAGTTTTAAAATATGAGCATGTATTTAAATCCAAAGATTTTTTTTTTTTTGTATTTCTTTTTGATGAGCATTCATACGGAACCTCACTACCATATAAACTACCTGTTGCAATTAGGGTTTGCTGCATAGAAAACTGCCCTAAAGTTTAGTAGCCTAAAAAAGTTTCATTTTGTACTCAATTTTGTGGATCAGTAATTCAGAAAGGAATCAGCAAGGCAGGTTGTTTCTCATCCACATGGCTCCCAGCAGGTATGGCTGGAACTGGAGGGTCACTTTCAAGATGGCTTCCTTCCCTCCGGGTTTGGCACATTATTACTCTTTGATCTCTCTGTCTGGCTTGACATAGCATCTCATTCTCCAGGGCAATCTAATGTGGCTTGGGCTTTCCATAACAGGGCTATCACAGGACAGTCAGATATCTTGCATGGGATTGGCTTTTACCAGAGTAAATACTTTCAAGAGCAAACATTCCAAGAGCCACAGGAAAAACAGGAAGAATTCATATGATTTAGCCTCGGTAATTCTAGAAGGTCACTCTTGGGTCTTTCCAGTGGTCGTGCAAATTAAAATGTCTAGCTTCAGTTCGAACAGAGAAAGGGGGTAGATTTTACATTTGGGACAATTTCATGCTGTACAGGAAAGGAGTATCATAGAAGTCATGTTCAAATTTTTCTTTTTAACTCAACATCCTTTTTATTCCTCAAGATCTTATAGTAATGATGCTTCTGAAGTGTTCATTTTCTCTTCTTTTGTGTTTATTAGTTTTATTAAATTGTGGTGAAATGTGCATAACATAAAATTTACCATTTTAACCATTTCTAACTGTATAGTTCAGTGGCATTAAGTGCTTTGGCATTATTGTCCAGATATCACCACCGTTCATCTCCAGAACATTTTTCATCTGGAAAAACTGAAATCCTATACCCATTAAACAATTAATGCTCCAATTTCCCTCCGCCAGCCCCTGAAAGCCACCATTTGATTCTCTGTTTCTATGCATTTGACAATCTGGCTATCTAACACCAGTATTTGGAACCATATAGTATTTTTCTTGCTGTGATGGACTGAATTCACTTATCATAAATTTCTCAACATTAATGCTATATTTTAATTTTAAGTCAAAGTGTCAAAGGGAGTGAAAATCACTGGCACTTCCTAAAACTGTACTATCAATGCCACAGTATTATAATCTTAATTTTACAAACTATTATGTATTACCTTTATAATAAATGCATTCTCAAATGAAATTCATAATATATTGAAAGATTTCCTACTGTTCTTTTTTAAAAGCTTCTATTTAGGTTTAACTTATTTTTTTTTCCCCTAGTGTTCTTTCTAGCTTTTAAAGTACTCCCAAAAATACATTTTTTGATACTGACTGTAGAGAACCGATTCCAGTGATGCTCAAAAAAAAAAAAACAACTCCAAAACCTTTGTAAAATCACTATTTTCCCCACCAGACATAACAAGTAGAGAGTATTTAAAAAATCATCAGCATATAGTACCATTATAGTATGTATGTATACTATATACATATAGTATCATTAGTTTTTGATGTAGTGGTCAACGATTCATTGGTTGCATATGAAAATAAGTAATATCCAATCAAAAGTCAAAGAAAAAATCACCAGCAAAAGAAAATGAATTTTCTAAAAGAAAAATAATTTGAACAAGGTGACATTGACATACATAATCCAGTGAGGGGAAGGAGAGCTGTCATGTGCACAAAGAAAAATAGTTACAGGCAGTAAATGTTCCTCCTCTCACTTCCAGATGCACATGTATTGAAAATATTTATATACAAATTATATTCTTCCATTTATTCCTATTATTAGTATGGGCTGGAAACAGCTTTCTAAGTGTTGAATATATAAAAATGAGTAAGACATTGTCTTAGATTTCAGAAACTCACTTTCTCCCAGGTGGGGGGTGCAAAGGGATATATTAAAATATGGTGTTCTTTGCTTTTTGAAAAAGTTGGTTATAAAAGAATTCTGATTACTTTTGAAATGTAATATATACTATTCATAATAAGGTTATCACAGCACATTTGGACAGTACAGATGAAGACAAGCGTGTGTGTGCATGCGCACGTGCGTGCACGTGCCCGTGAAACGTAAATATCGGCTTGTAAAACCTAAATAGTTACTATTTTGGTTTTTCAAATGTGAATGCTGCTTTTGTCCCCCCACCCCCACCCCAGCTTCACTCATTTTTCCTCTCAGACTGCTTTATGTGATTTTTATTTTTCCCACGGTACTTGACCTATTGATGTGAAAATACACAGAGGCAGTTTTGATTTTCAGAACCTGAGTCAGTTGCATGCCCATATTTATTAGTGTTTCCTACAGCTTTGGTGGACAACCGCATACATAATTTGATTTTTTTTAAATGAAAACAGTATGTTGACAAATGAAATGGTCACTTTCCTGAAGATCTTTGACAGACTTTGTTCACATCCAAAAGGAGCACTCCACGGCACACGTGGTTATACGGGTGGCTTAATGATTCTGCAAAGTGACTTCATCAGTATTTTATGTTGAAAGTCTTTTGGATACATTGGAGACATCAGAGTTAGATTCCTGCAATCCGATAATCTGTTGTGGATGATGAAATAAATTACAAAATTTTCAAAATGACCTTTGGAGAAAAATAAGGAAAAAATGGACCTTTGGTTTATTAAACTGAAGTCTTCATTTTGATGTTGACCCTCTCATGTTCAGCAACTATTTAAATTCTCAGAGACTTGTTTCCTCATCTTCATCTTAGCTAGAATCCCATCCGTTCTATAGATTACTTTGGGAATTAAATGATATAAAGAATGTATTTGTTCAGTCTTCTAGGATTGATAAGTCAGCCTCTTCCATTCATTATTTTTATACTCTCTTGAAATTTGTCAGTCAAAATGGATGTATTATATATACTTTATATACTTACCAGAAAATAAACTCAGCAATTCCTCAAAAGTAAATTTTTACTGTAGGTTATAAACAAAGGTAAATTTTTCTTTTGCATCTCTAACTCCTGTTGGAAAAATTCCTGGTTTGGAATAAATGAAATCGATTCTTTTTAAAAGAAACCATAAAGTCCCAAAATGTGCTCTTTTTTTTACTTGGAGGAAAATTATTACCTAAAGCCTGTATTAAGTGTGCTTTGTACTCTAGGCTAGGGATGTGCAGGGTGTAGATGGGTGCATACTCTGATGCCTTTTACAGCAGCTACAAACATGATTATCCAGTCAGAGCCTTCTTTCCCACTGAACCCAAAGTCTTCCAAATCCTTCTCAATGCAGCACTCTATGAAGCCATTTCATGCTGAGGAGAAAGTATTAAATATCCCTGTATTATGTATCGTGGTATAGCTCAATAGGGCAAATATGTGAATGTGATGAATTAAAAATAATTATGGAGCCAGCTCTTAAAAATATATAAGTAAGTTGAACAATTTTACACTGACCATACCACCACTGTTGGCTGGATTACCATACCACTGGGAAAATGCCATTTGTTGAGACGTTGGTGGTAATACTTTAAGTATATTTACTAATATACTTAGTATTATATTAGTAAATATACTTACAGTAGAAACTTCAACATCAGCCAGCCTAACATCATGGTAATTCCTGTTAGTTGCCTGGCCCTCCTTTGTGTTTCTTAAAAACAGAACTCCCAATTTTACTTGTGGTGGCATTGCAACCAGCGACAAATACCATCCTCTCCAGACTTCCTTGTAGCCACCGGAGGCCAATGACTATACATGGGAATTTGGGGAAGGTATCTCTTTAGAAGGAAAAACACCAGACTCGAGGAAAAGTCTCTTCTCTTTTCCGCTTCCACTTCTTTCAATGCCTTGAACACATGTGATACTAGGGAGTACCACAGTCCTTTTGCAACCATGAATGATCAGGAAGATGATAAGGTGTCAGGAATAACAGATGGAAAATATGTGCTTCACAACCACACAGTTGAACTATAATACCACCCCTAAACAGACAACTTCTTGGCCTCTTTTTAATTGAGATGAATTAATTCCTGTCTGTTTCAGCTTCTACTACTTGGGTTTTCAGTTGCTTGGAACCATCCGATGTTTAATTAATACAATAAGGAAGCTGTATTATCTCTAGTACTAAGAGGTCAAAAGCAAGAATCCTAGAGTTGGTTGATTTTAGCAACTTCTGTTATCAAAACATTAGAACTACATGGACTCCTTCCTTCTTTATCCAGGGCTGTTTTCATGTAAATGACTTTGTAATAAAGTTAGCCACCCTACCCATATAATGTCTTCGGTCCTAATGATCATATCTTTACAGTGATAGCCTGAGAAAAAAATAAATGGATTTTCTTCTTTTGATTTGTTTTTAAGAAAAAAGCAAACTTTTCCTAGGTGCCTTTTCCACAGTAAGGCTCAATGTCTATATTGTATCCCAGGACTATGGCTAAACTAATCAAGATGAGGAAAGAGAAAACACTGCCCATCACGATTGCTTAGATAACTTATAAGTAATGTCTGGCTATCTGAGTGAAAGAGGGTGGATTGTCAAATAAAATAGCACTTCTGTCCTCTACAAGAGAGAGAAGGAACGACTGATAAATGAACCCCCCAAAACTAAGGAAAACATTCAAAAAATAGAGGAAAGTAGTCTTAAACATAAAATTTGAAAAAAAAATCGGTTTTTATTTAAGAGACAATTTTCTGAAAAATTTAGTTGGCACAGAGGCAATTTTAAGATTCAGTTTCAAAACATTTTGCATCAAAGAGAAGGTTATTGTATGCAAGGCAAGGGGTTTAGGAGAGTATATTCAAACAGTATGAAAAACCTGATATTTTGAGCCATGGAAATAACCCAAGAGCGTTCTTAAAGATGATTAATGTGGTTTGGGTTTGTAAAGTTGATCAATGAAGGCTACACTGAAAAAAAAATAGGCTCTTAAATAAATCAGGGGCTTGGACCAATGGAACTGGGGCAGAGGTTATAAACTTCAGGGGAAGGAGAGAATTAAGTTTTCAAATGGAGAACTGACAAGTGTTGGTGATAGACTGAATATGGAAATGAGGAATGTAGAACCAAAGAGAACTTCAAAGGTAGAATCTTTAAGAAAAGAGAAGATTCATTCTCTGAACTTAATTAGTAATCTCAGTGAGAAGAACTCATCTGGAGAGGTGAATGATGAGTTCATGTTAGGCTTTTTGATTTTGAGACAACAGTTGCAAGTTCCAAATGGAATATTCAACAAACATTTGAAGGTAAACACCTGCATTCCATCCTGGCTGTAGATTTGTAGGTCATCTGCATTAAAGTGTGAAGGGCTGTGGGAAAGGTTGAGTGAAAGGTATACAGAGCAAGAAATTTAAGGATATAAAATTAAATCAAGAGGGGCACCCTGCTATGTTTGTAAGTTATAAGAAAGGAATTGGTAGAAAGTGTGAGATTGAAAGACCTGGAAAAGTTCTCTAACTGAAATAAGTGGAGCCATAGAATGCTAATAGCTATAGAATGCTTGATAAGGTGTTGAAATCATAAACTGAGATTAGCCCTAGAAAAGGGAAAAGGAAAAATGACATAACTTTGAGGTAGAGAGAATGAAATAGAATTTATTGTGATTGTATTGATATCTTTAGAGTCATACATAAAGTCATATGTTAGATAAGGTGGAACAGAAGGTTCAAGGGTGGTTACAGAGAATCAAAAAGGATATAGAACAATTATTTTACAGGTCCTGTGTGTTAGGGAGTCAGTTACATGGAAATGCAATAGTGCAGAACCTGTATATGACATCATTCTAAAGAACACACAATGGCCATTTTATATTTATACTGGAAGACTCTGCATGTTTGCCCTTATGTTAGCTAAACACCTGGAGAACTAGATTTCTTACTTTCATCTGTATTGATAGCACATTATAAACCTATTTATATCATGATACTAGAATGATAAACATAAGGAGGGGATATAGAGAGCCCATAAATAAGCATCTAAAATTAAATGCATTATATACCATGTTGAATGAAAGAAATGTACATAATTAAAAATGATTCTAGATTTTAAGGATAAGATGCAATCATGCCTGAGAAGTGAAATACTGATATTTAATGAGAGTATCGTCAGGAATCCAGAACATTTTCTGTACAATTTTTTAAAGCTTTGCTTTCGATATGTTTGTCATCCATTTTAACAGCATGTTTTTCTCCTGATGCAGTTTCTTTATGCTAGTATTAGTTTTACATTAAGAAGAAGTTATGAACGGGAAACCATCTGGAGAAGAAATATTAAAAGCAACATAAATGTCATCTCTCTAAAAAGGAAGGAAAAGTCAATAACAATCTCAATTGATTCCTAGTGGTTAAATCACGCAATCACTCTGTCTGTACAACACACTTTTACAGTGAATGCTCAAAGATAATAACTGCTGTGTGAAAAAAATTAAAAACGAAAGCAGATATCAATTGTATTATGATGGTACTTTTCACGGATGACTAAGTAGTAGACATTCAGCTATTATCTGGTAATTTGTCTCATTATGAATAACTTAATTTTTAATGAGTTATCAATCAGCCCTTAGAAGAGAACTTTTTTCAGTATTGAGTGACTAGCTCTGAAATGTTGTATGTGGTTGGTTAGTATGGTATGCTGAGAGGGTGTGTGTCCTCTACAGTTTACTACTTCTCCAAAGGCACCTTTTTTTACTTAATGACTTTGCCCCTCTAATCGTCTGTACTCTTCAAACACCAGAGTGAACACAGGGACTGAACTGAACTTTGAGACAATTGAAGCTATTGATTTAGTTGACCTGACTTACTTGTATTATCATATTATGTTCATTGCTTATGTGTAGACACAGTTTTATCTATCATCTATAATATTATTAGTCAATCCATACAATGCCTTCATGGATAAATGACAGTGTTCATGCACTGCCTCTAGACTTTCTGATTAAAAAAAAAAAAAAAGCTACCATGTACATTGTACAATTGAAATTACCAATGGATGCCAATGTTCTGGTTCTTTAAATTGATTAATAAGTAAAATAGGCAGGCACTAATTCTAAATTATCACAAACGTAGTATAATACCTAGTGTAATGTACATTTCCAGAACATTCTATTAATATCTTCCTTTCCTTAGGCCATTATACAAGCACACCAGGAAGTTGCAATTTTGAAATAACTTCAGGAAACTGGACCACAGCCTGCAGTCTTACTCAGGACTCTGAAGATGACTTGGATTGGGCCATTGGCACCAGAATTCCTACTGAAGCATTGAGCCCAGACTTGGATCATACCCCAGGTAAGTCTAACAGAGATCCCCAGGCCAAGTAATGCACCCCTGGAAATCTGCCTTCACCATTTGAGTGAATATCAGACAGCATTCCTTGTGTCTGTGTGTGGGCAGAGCTCAATAGTCTTCATGAAAAGAGAGTGAGTCCTTTCTAACCTCTGAATTATTGACTAGACCCAGAACTGATATTGCTACAACAAGGAAATCCATGACTCCTGTTTTAAGAGACTGACAGGTTTTATCTACTCAACAAGTAAGGGACATTCAGATGAATGCCTGCTGTAGGCAGAGGTTAACAATGGGAGGAGTTCTCTTGTGGCCTCAGTGGCCAGCAGCTGGCCACCAGTGTTGTTCCAGTCCCTTTGACATGTAGGGGCTGAGACATAAAAGATAAGTGGTGATGGAAGGAATGAACATCAACAAACTCTTGACAGGATTTGCCTCCTTCCTTGTTATTTGAGGTTAAAGGAATCCTTAATGGTCTGCCAGGTAATAGGGTCAGAGCAGAAGTAAGCTTATATTCTCATTTACTTTTACCCAGAAGTCTTGCCTACTCTGTATGCCCCCCACCATGGAATCTAACTTTTGTTAGGGATAAAAAAATAATCATTTTAGAGACAACTTTTCTTAGGGATAAAACTTGTCTACATTTTCTTAGGGATAAAATCTAGTTTTTCTTAGGGATTAAAAAAAAACTGAGGTATTTGTGATGGTTACTTTCACGTGTCAGCTTGGGGGATGTCTTTGGATGAGGTTAGCATTTAAATCAGTGAATGTTGAGAAGATTACCCTGCGTAATGTGGGAAAGGGGTGTGGGGCTCATCCAATCAATTGAAAGCCTAAATGGAACAAAAAAGGACTGGCCTCCCTGAGCAAGGAGTAATTAATTCCCCTCAACGCTGCATGCAGATGTCATCTGTCCCGTTGGCTTTCCTGGTCTTCAGCCCACCAGCCCACACAGCGAATTCCGGGGGGCTTGCCAGCCTCTGTGATCACATGAGCCAATTCCGTACGGTAAATGTCTTTCTGGATCCATATACATTTTATTGGTTCTGCTTCTCTGGAGAACTCTAATACAGTATCACTCAAAACAATTGAAGCATAGGCACAATGAAAAAGGACAAGATTATAATGGAATTGATTAAATTGACACTTCAGAGGAAAAATATGCAAGATTGTCTCAGCCATTCTATGACTAGCAAAAAGAGAAGAATACTTGTATTATTTGTATATTCAGGCAGATTGAAAATTTTATGACATTCCATTATAGCCTATGTGTTCATTTTTGCTTGACATATGGCCTGCCTTTCATTTCCAGATTGAGTATTCTTACTCCATTTGACCTGCCAGATTGTATTTCCTCTTCCTCACCAAGTGTGGTTTTGCGTGTTTTGTTTTGTTTTGTTTTTTTAAAGCATGAAGTTAGTATACACTAGATTATAGGTTAATGGAACAGGATAGGCCATCAGGACACTGAGGTTGGTAATTAGGATTTAATACAAAACAGAGACCAGTTCAGTGGGAAAAAAGATAGTCTTTTTCAGTATGGAGTTGGCTTATCTGGGTACATAGCTGAAAGGAAATGACATTTTTTGTGTATTTTATAGACAGAAATATATTTGGATGGATTAAAGACTTAAATGCAACAAGTAAAAACAATAAAACTCTTGCAAGAAAACAGAGGGTAACTATGGGCAATGTAAGGACAGAATCTCACTTCCAAGAGACCAGAAGCCACAAAAGAAAAGATGCATGTATTTGATGGTGAAAAATTATAGCCGTAGGGGCACCTGGGTGGCTCAGTGGGTTGAGCCTCTGCCTTCGGCTAGGTCATGGTCTCAGGGTCCTGGGATGGAGCCCCGAATCGGGCTCTCTGCTCAGCGGGGAGCCTGCTTCCTCCTCTCTCTCTCTGCCTGCCTATTTGCCTACTTGTGATTGCTGTCAAATAAATAAATAAATAAAATCTTCAAAAAAAATTATAGCTGTGGCCTAAAAATTCCATAAACAAAATCAACAGGCAAACAATAGGCTAGAAAAATTTTTGTGTGTCAATTACAACTTGGATACATATAGATAACTCTTATAGACTTACTGGAGATGAAAATTTTAACAACCAGAAAAGATCTGCATAACTCATTCACAGGTGATTGCATTCAAATAATCAACAAAAATATCAAATGATGCTCAAGTCCTCAAGTTATCAGAAAAATACAAATCAAAATAAAAAGATGGCGGGGGGCGCCTGGGTGGCTCAGTGGGTTAAGCCTCTGCCTTCGGCTCAGATCATGGTCTCGGGGTCCTGGGATCGAGCCCCGCATCAGGCTCTCTGCTCGGCGGTGAGCCTGCTTCCCCCTCTCTCTGCCTGACTCTCTGCCTACTTGTGATCTCTCTCTCTCTCTCTGTCAAATGGATAAATAAAATCTTAAAAAAAAAAAAAAAAAAAGATGGGGAAAGGTTTTTAAAAGCCACCATTGGATGGCAGAGAAATGGAGAAGCAGGTAGCCAGAGAAGGATACTCATGCTTCTCTGGGAAATTTTCCATTCTGGAAAGCATTCTGACCATATAGAAATAAAAAGACCACCACATAAGCACATGTATATAAGGATATTTACCTCAACATTGTTTGTAGTTGAAAATAATGGGAAATAAAATGAATGTCCCTCATTCATACCATCATTTATTTGTTCCCTCATTCATTCATGAATTGGCCTGTTGAATGCTAGGCACTGTTCTAGGTGCTGGGGATACATTAGTGAGTAAAACTCAATTGCTCCAGTGCAGTTCACATTCTAGAAGGAGGGAAAATCTAACTGATTCAACATGGTAAGGAAATAAAGTACAGGGTCCATTAGAAGTTGAGTGGAGTAAGAAGTAGGATTGAGAAGGCATATGGACGGTTGTGTGTGTTACAGCTGGGGAAGGATCACAGTTTCTAGGCTGGTCAGTTAGGCTGTGGTGGGAAAATGCCATTCAAAAAAGACTTGAAGGAGATGACTAGTGAGCCATTTGGATTCCTAAGTCAAGAGTATTGCGGTCAGAGGAATAGCCAGTGCCAAATGCCCTGAGATCCGAGTATGCCCGGGGTGTGTGCCCCAGGCCACAGGTGATGTTTTAGGTGACCTAATGAGTTACTGTGGTACATCCTGTGCACTGTATGATGTTGGGCGGTCTTCCTGGCCTCTAGTCACTAGATACCAATAGCATTCATCTCCCTGCTAAAAAGGTTTTTAAAAATTGCCAGCTTGCCCTTGGGGGACAATGTCTCCCCTTTTGGGGAACCTTGAGGGACAGCCTGGAGGCCTGTGTAACTTTTTAAATCCACAGCATACAGTATCATGCAGCCACGAAAAAGAGAGATTTTGGCACTATGAAGTTGATTTGTAGGGATTTCCAAAACATATTTTTAAAGATATTATTTATTTATTTGAGAGAGAACAAGCACAAGCAGGGGAAGCTGCAGAGGGAGAGGGAGAAGCAGGCTCCCCACAGAGCAAGAAGCCCGATGTGGGACTTGATCCCAGGATGCCAAGATCATGACCTGAGTCAAGGCTGAGCCAACCTTGGCATTCCCAGAACATATTATTAAAGGCTAAAGCAATACACAAAATGATTCTATAGTTATCTATGGTCCAATTTTTTATAGGACAGACAATAACTAATGCCCCCTTATTCGTGAACATATATAGTTCCACATAGTATGTCTGTGAATAACTGTGTGAGCATGGAGAGGAAGATAAAAAAGGATATACGAGTTTATTAACCCAGAGTCCTTGGATGAATGATAGGGCTGGAGTAGGTGACAGGGAGAATAAATCTAAAAACAAAAAGGAAATAAGTAAAAACAAGAATTGCACCTCAAAAGAAAATCTAAGGTACATGATGGTAGCACCTACATTTGTTTGTGGAAACTGTGGTGAGTATTTTTAAGTTTTACCATGGAAAAACCCTGAAGAATGATCTTTTTCCTCTATTAATATTGATTTCTTTCCTTAATATTTCTTTTCATCAATTTTACATTACTAAGTAATGCATCCCTTCCTAAAATTTAAATGTGTAAATAAGCCGAAAAAAGAAAAAAAAACCTTCTCTGGTAATCACAATAGAGTGATAGAATCACCTGTAATCTTTCTATTTTGTATATTTTGCCATTCTTTCTGGATGTATACATTTTCATATAAAAATAGGTTTCTACTAAGTGATTTGATAAATATACTATGAACAAGTTTATATGTGATGAAATTATTTTTTTTTTAAATTTTGAACTCTTAATTTCTTTTTTTATTAACATATAATGTATTATTAGCCCCAGGGGTACAGGTCTGTGAATCATCAGGCTTACACACTTCACAGCCCTCACCATAGCACATACCCTCCCCAATGTCCATAACCCAACCATCCTCTCCCTACCCCATTCCCCAGGCAACCCTCAGTTTGTTTCATGAGATTAATAAGAGTCCCTTATGGTTTGTCTCCCTCCCAATCCCGTCTTGTTTCATTTTTTCCTTCCCTACCTCCCAAACCCCCCACTTTACCTCTCAAATTCCTCAGATCAGGGAGATCATATGATAATTGTCTTTGTCTGATTGACTTACTTTGCTCAGCGTAATACCCTCTAGTTCCATCTGTTATGAAATACTTTTAACATGATATTCTGCTTTTTGGATATAACATAATTTATAAAAATTATCTAATGGTAAACTCTTAAATTATTTCCTAACAATTTCACTATGGTAAACATCACAATAGTGAAAATACACTTAGATGAAATTTTGTTTTTTTACTTTTATGATAGTTCCTGAGGATAAATACTTTCTTTTTCTTGAGAACTTAGGAGAAATAATCCAGTTTTCATTTTTGCTGCTAAGATCTCAACAGTCCCATTTAGATGCAGTGTCTGTGAGGTCTCCTGATAACATCTGCAGCAATCTTTCCTTATCTTAAGACAGAATTTGGAAATCGGGGAGGGCATCTGCTAGTATAATGCTTCTAAGGGTACAAAAGTATCAGA